TCATTGTGCTTACTGCTGCTTCATAACCTGAATATCATATGTACTATCCAACTTCTCGTGTGCCGGCGCGCTGAGAAACAATGTCCACATCAATTGCAACGTATGTTTGCACCTGTTGTCAAACCATACCCATGCCAAACCCAAAGCAATCGTGCGCGCCGATGCCCCGTGTAAACATCCTATTCGACTTGGAAACAAGGAAAAACACACCACCCAATCAAACTGGATAGAACATGTATGATTTTCAAAACCTTTGGATGCTTTCGAAATCTTCGGGTGGTTCCCTACTACAGTCGGGTAGTTTCGAAACGTTCCCTCTTCCTACGACGCCGTTGAAATTGGACTGCCATGCATTTGCGATGGTACTCGGGTCGGATGGCGGTGGCGGTCCGAATCTTTTATTGATAGAAATGGCGTTCTTTAGTATTTAGTGCGCAATGGCGGACGTGCAGAGACTTCCCAACATATTCGCGACGCCATGGTGTCTGCCCCCGCTGTTCTCACACAGGCTGAATCGCAAAACTCCCAGTATTGCATCGGAGTGTGTATATCTATATATATATATATATAGATATGTACATACATATATATATATGCATATATATATATATATATATGTGCAGACGACTGGTCTCTAAACATCGTGTGCGGTAATTCCACGCAAACTTGCGAAACGTAAATAGATCGCGTAACTTTTTGGCGTGTGAGACCGTCGTGGAACAGACGCTGTCGAACATACCGCTGATCTCTGATCACTCATCCTCGTGTCCTCCAACCGCCAGGATACGACGCAACGCGGGATCAGCTCGGGGCAGGATCGGGAGGAACACTGTGCGCGCGCCCTGCCTGGCAACCATCGAGATCACGACCACGGCAACGCCGCGGCGGTGGCCGCGAGCGCGGCTGGGCCGAGACGGCCGCCGGCGCGGGCTCCGCTGTTCGCGCGGCGGGGGGGCGACGCCGCCAGTCGGCCGAGAGGCCCGGCGGAGGCAGGAAGGGGAGGAGGAGGCAGGAAGGGGAGGAGGAGGAGGAGGAGGAGGAGGAGGAGGAGGAGGAGGAGCAAGAGGGGGAACGGCGGAGGAGTGGCCTAAGGGGAGAGAGGGAGAGAGGGAGGGAAGCAGGGAACGGGGGAGCAAGGCTGGCTCGCTCAACCACGGAGCGGGCCGAAGGAGCGCGAAGAGTCGAGCGAGGGAGAGTAAGACCGAGGGAGGAGGACGGAGGGAGGAGGACCCGACCTGCGCGCTTCCCCAGGTCGTCGCCCCTCGTCGCTCCGCCGCCTCCTCCCCCTTGCCTGGGTTCCCCCCCGTCCTGAGGGGCGGCGAAGAGGCCGGGGAGGGGAACGAGCGCTGCAGGGGAGGGGGAACATCGAGCTGGAATCGGCGATGCGTCGGCGATAGGCGATCAGTGGGCGATTGGGGGTCGATGCGTCCCCTCCTTGAGCCAGTCTTACCCGAGGGTTGCCCGATGCAGCGGCGACGTCGGCGCGGAGACCAGGCGCCGACACTCGTTGCCTTTCGTTGCTCGAATCATGGCTCGTGCGTTGGGCAAGCACATGCCCGGATACTTCTGCGCAGGTTCGTGTTGGGGCTTGGGAAGCCTGGCGGCACAAATGTCCTGAAGGACTCCCACGCCGCGAATCAACGTGACTGTCGCGTCCCGAGAACCCGAAATCGTGCCAGAATGCCCCTGCTGGGCGCACCACCGCGTCTCAGCGTGACTGCTGCATCCCGACAATCCTAAATCGTGCCAGGGCGCAAACTCTTGTACTTTAACCACGTGAACCCTTGAGGCTGATGCAAAAGTGAACATCGAATGGAGCCACACTTTGACAAGGAACAGTCCTGCATCCTTGAAGCCATGGCAGAATTTCACAACGAATGTGTGGGCGGCGCTGCGGCGAGAGCCACTTTTTGAAAACGAGCCGCCCTCCATCCTCGATTTTTTTGCTTAATTTTTAGATCGAATCTACGCGGCGCTAATCAGGGGAGAGCCACATTTCGAGAACAACCCGCCCTCAATGGTTGAACCTGTTGTGCAATTTTCAAGCTTCAAGTTTGCAGATGGTGCGGGAGTCTCAGGCGGAAAGCCTGGCTCGCCCTAAGGACACCTCTGGTGGTGCCACAAGTTATGTGGTCCCCATCGTACTTAAGGACCACATCCCAAAACTAATTTCGAACACCCCGAAAAGTGTCGAAACAGTGTCTGCCCGACACGCTGGCGAGGTGCCGAACGAATATCGCCTCGCAAGGCCCGACACGTGAAAACCGTCCAGTGTCGATACTTCTTGCTGCTCGAAACTCTTTTTGGTGATCAATAAAAACAAGTGGCACGCGTGCCATGGCTCGTGCACAAAAAGGAAGGGGGAGGAGGAGGAGGTCGAGGAGGAGGGGGGAAGAGGGGGCAAAACATCGCCCCTTGGGGCCCAGCAGCGGGGCCCAAATCCCATGTTGGGAGGGGGGGGAGGTGGCGTGCGTCGCGACGCGGAACAAATATTCGGAGCAGAGGGGGCACGGGGCGGAGGTCCCACTGGGGCGCTGGGGACGCGGAGAAGAGGGGGGGGGGAAGGTGGTGCGCGTCGCGACGCGGAATAAAATGGTCGGGGCGGAGGGGGCACTGGGCGGGGCTTGGGGCAGAGGGCCACGGGGCGGGGGTCCAACTGGGGCGCTGGGGACGGGGGGGGAGGTGGTGTGCGTCGCGACGCGGAATAAAATTGTCGGGGCGGAGGGGGCACGGGGCGGAGCCCCCACTGGGGCGCTGGGGACGCGGGGAGGGAGGTGGGGGAGGTGGTGTGCGTCGCGACGCGGAATAAAGCGTTCGTGGCGGAGGGGGCAGTGGGCGGGGCTCCCGCTGGGGCGCTGGGGACGCGGGGGGGCTCGGGGCAGAGAACCACGGCGCGGGGGTCCCACTCTGGCGCTGGGGACGCGGGAGAAGGGGGTGCGACGCAGAATAAAGCGTTCGTGGCGGAGGGGGCAGTGGGCGGGGCCCCCGCTGGGGCGGTGGGGACGCGGGTGGGGGCTCGGGGCAGAGAAACACGGCACGGGGGTCCCACTCTGGCGCTGGGGACGCGGAGAAGGGGGGTGCGACGCGGAATAAAACGTTCGTGGCGGAGGGGGCAATGGGCGGGGGTCCCACTGGAGCGCTGGGGACGCGGGGGGGCTCGGGGCAGAGCGCCACGGCGCGGGGGTCCCACTCTGGGCTGTGGGCGTGTGCGTCGCGACGCGGAATAAAATGCTCGGGCCGGACGGGGCTGCGGGCGGGGCTCCCACGGGGGAGGAGGGGGAGGTGAGTGTGCGTCGCGACGCGGGATGGAGTGGTCGAAGCTCTAGACACTTTGTGCAAGAGGATGAATAGGAACATCATACGCCACAGGGAAGATACACATAGATGTGTAATTTGATGGAGGAGCAGGAGGAGGAAGGACGAGCAGGAGGAGGAAGAGGAAGAGAAGGAGGAGGAGGAGAGGGCGGAATGGGCGGGAAATCCTCGCAATTGGGCGGAGGAGGGCGAGGAGGAGGAGGAGAAAGAGAAGCAGGAGAAGAAGGAGAAGGAGGAACAGGAGAAAAAGGAGGAGGAGGAGGAGGAGGAGGAGGAGGAGGAGGAGGAGGAGGAGGAGGAGGGAGAGGAGAAGGAGGAAGAGCAGCAAGAGGAACAGCACGAGGAGGAGGAGGAGGAGGAGGAGGAGGAGGAGGAGGAGGAGGAGGAGGAGGAGGAGGAGGAGAGAAGGATGGGAGGTGGAGGGGACTCTCCGCCAGACGCTCGGCCGACGGGCGCGGCGTTGCAGGAGGACGCCGGCCAGACGCCGGGCACCCAAAGGTAGTGTCAAGGCCAGGACGGCGCGTGCACCAGACTGGCCTCCTCGCGGTACAGTGGAAGCCAGTCCACAAGAAACCTTCCACAGGAAACCCAACCCTGAGACCCCAGGACGTTCATCCATCGATTTTCGGGTGTGGGAGCGTCTTGCTGTCCACAGCAAAACCGTCGAAACCCGAGAACCCCGGGGCACCCTGGATGCAAGCAGGGTGCTTCTTGGCATGGGTTGTTGCATAGTTCTGACATCTGGGGGCCTTTGCAGGGCCCCGGGGCCGAGGGCACCTCGGGATGAAACGCCACTCCCCGGGGAACAGGTCCAGGCCTCTGGACACCGATTTCGCGAAGAAAATCCGCCTACCTTCTGTGGGTCTCCAGGTGTGTGAGATTCTCCCTCCCAACCCCCCCCCCCCAACACCCCAAACTGGGAAATTGCGCCCCCGCCCCCCCCTACCCCCTCCTCCCCCCCCTCCGCCCCCCGCCCCCCTCCCCCGCCCTCCTTCCCACCACGTGGCCGCAGATGACCCATCCCTGAAATCATCCAGGGGGGTCCGGTCCTCCTCGGGCCCTCTTTGGAGTGCCGAAACAGCGTCGGATTCCCCCCGAAGGATCCTCCAGACAGTCGAAGGAAGCCCCAGATCGTGGAAGTGTCGTTCCACAGCGTCCGCGATGGCGCCCAAATGGCCCAAGATGCCCCCAACATGTAAGAGTCCTCCAACAGCCTCCCAAACAGGACCCCAAGAAACAAAAACCGTCCCATTTCCTTCGAGAATCGCATCTGTTAGTACATTCCCCTCCGCAACTTTCGCCACGCCCGAAACATCCCAATAAACCCAAACGAAAGCTCCCACACAGCCCACGCAAGACCCCAAACGGCCGAACAAATCCCCAAACGGCCCAAAAGAGACCCCAATGGCCCACCCCCATAAACCCCCAAAACGGCCCAAGAAGGCCCTAGGGCGGCCCCGAAAAAAAAGGCCTCGAGGCGGAACCCGACCAGAAATTTCGACCTGTCCGGGCCGGCACGCCACCAATGTGTCCTCAGAAGCCAACGAGAGGCCCCCGGGGGCCGCCAAAAAACTCCAGGAGAGCTCCACAAAAAAAGTGCCCGAGCTCCCAGGAGGCCCCCAAAAAGGCCCCCAAACTAGCTACACGACGCACCCGAGCGGCCTCGCACGAGACCCCATCAGCCATCAGAGTGGCCTCCGATCCTCAACCCAGTTCGCTGTCCGGGAGCTCGCGCACGGCCTCCAGATCCTCAGCGCAACTTTGCGTGATGGGCCTCAGCTCGGCCCGCAACCCAGATCATCATTTCTCCTCCTCCACATCCTTTGGTCGTCGTCGTCGTCCTCCTCCTCCTCCTCATAGTCTTGCCCCCCCGCCTCGTCCTCCTCCACCTCATCCCCCTCCTCCTCTTGTCCCCCCCCTGCGGCCCTGAGCATTCGCGCGCTGCCACAAGCGCTTCGCCGGATCTCGCGCGCGCTACTTGCACTTCAAAGCACCTCCCTGGCGCGCGCGCCCGACATTCGGTCCAGCGACGAGCGGAGATTTCGGAAATTTCATCTTGCAGCTGCCGAAGCACTCGTGCGCTTGCAATCTGCGCGCCGTCAAAAACCCACGTCCACGCAGTCTGCGCGTGCATCTTTACTTTTCCTCGAGCAGTGATCACTCTCCTGTCTGTCGGTTATATGGTCCTGCCGCGGAAACTTCTCCTCGCAAGCCGCGCGCGTCAATTTTCGATCGAGCCGCTTGCCGCATTGGCCGCTCCCTTCGCTGCGGTGCCCTTGTGGTGACGTCCTCCGCACGCTACTCTTGCTCTTGTCTTCGCCCAGTGGTCCTTCCTCTTGGTTGTGGTTCGAATGTCCGGCTTGCCAGAAGGACGCCCCTAACCTGGCGCACGGCACGTCAGCGGCTCCACTTCTGCCCCTGCCTTCCGCTTGTGATTGCTTGCTCCTCGCGTCAGCTAGTCCCGCACCTCTGCGCATTTCCGACGCAGTCTCTCGCCTGTTGCGCCGTGCTTCTTCTAAACTTCAGACATCTCCGCCATCTCTCCGAAAAAGGGAGAGACGCGCGCCGTTCGAACGTCGCACTGTGCCGACGCTTTCGTCCAATTTGTTGCCACTGCGCGACCTCTGCTTCGCTTTGACATGGCTGCACCTGGCACAATACATGGCCCGAATCGTTTTCACCTCCTGTTCGTTGCCTGGTTGCCTGCTGCCCCAATCGCCTCTATGCCGCGTCGGTGCATCGCCCTCCGCTATGGGGCCACAAACCGTGTGAAGGGTGTGCCAAAATGAGCCGCGGGGGCGCGTGTCAACCCTGCCGCTGTTCGGTGGAACCCCCTATGGGGACACGAACCGTGTGAGGGGTATGACGACATGAATCGCGGGGACGCATGTCAAACCTGCCGCTGGGGCCTCCACTCGAATTCCGCATGGGGCCACGAACCGTGTCAGAGGCGTGACGAAAAAAATCTCGAGGACACAAACAAACCCTGCCACTGGGGCCTTCGGTCAGGCTCCCTATGGGGTCACGAACCGTGTGAGTGGTGTGCCAAAAATGAATCGCGGGGCCGCATGTAAACCCTGCCGCTGGGGCCTTCGGTGGAGTTCCCTCTGGTGACGCGAACCGTGTGAGGGGTGTGACGACATGAGTCACGGGGACGCATGTCAACCCTGCCACTAGGGCCTTCGATTGAGCTTCCTATGGGGCCACGAACCGTTTGAAGGGTGTGACAAAATGAGTCGCGGGGACGCATATAAACCCTGCCACTGGAGCCTTCGGTGGAACTCGCGGGGGCCACGAGCCGTGTGAGGGGACGCATGTAAACCCTGCAGCTGGGGCCTTCGGTGGAGCTCCCGCTGGTGACGCGAACCGGGTGAAGGGTGTGACGACATGAATCGCGGGGACGCATGTAAATCCTGCCGCTGGGGCCTTCGGTGTAACTTCCCATGGGGCCACGAACCGTGTGAGGGGTGTGACGAAAACAATCGCGGGGACACAAGTAAACCCTGCCACTGGGGCCTTCTGTGGAACTCCCGCAAAAAACAAATCGCGGGGGCGCATGTAACCTTGCCGCTGGGACCTTCGGTGTAGCTTCCTATGGGGGCACGAACCGTGTGAGGGGTATGACGAAATGATTCGCGGGGACGCACGTAAACCCTGCCAGTGGGACTTTCGGTGGAGCTCCCCATGGGGCCACGAACCGTGTGAGCGGTGTGCCGAAATGAACCGCGGGGACGCATGTCAACCCTGCCGCTGGGGCCTCCGGTCGAATTCCGCATGGGGCCACGAACCGTGTCAAGGGCGTGACGAAAACAATCGCGGGGAAACACATCAACCCTGTCACTGGGTCCTTCGGTAAAGCTCCCTATGGGGTCACGAACCGTGTGAGTGGTGTGCCAAAAATGAATCGCGGGGCCGCGTGTAAACCCTGCCGCTGGGGCCTTCGGTGGAGCTCGCATGTCAACCCTTGAGCTTCCTATGGGGCCACGAACTGTTTGAAGGGGGTGACAAAGTGAGTCACGGGGACGCATGTAAACCTTGCCACTGGGGCCTTCGGTGGAACTCGCGGGGGCCACGAGCCGTGTGAGGGGACGCATGTAAACCCTGCAGCTGGGGCTTTCGGTGGAGCTCCCTCTGGTGACGCGGACCGTGTGAAGGGCGTGACGACATGAATCGCGGGGACGCATGTATACCCTGCTGATGGGGCCTTCGGTGGAACTCCCTATGGGGCCACGAACCGTGTGCGAGGTGTGCCGGAATGGATCGCGGAAACGCATGTAAACCCTGCCACTGGGTTTTTCGGTGGAACTCCCGCAAAGAATCGCGGGGGCGCATGTAACCCTGCCGCTGGGGCCGTCGGTGTAGCTTCCCATGGGGCCACGAACCGTGTGAAATGTGTGACGAAATGAATCGCGGGGACGCACGTAAACCCTGCCAATGGGACTTTCGGTGGAACTCCCTATGGGGCCACGAACCGTGTGATGGTGTGCCAAAATAAGCAGCGGGGGCGCATGTAAGCCCTGCCATTGGGGCTTTCCTTATGGGGCCACGAGCCGTGTGAGGGGTGTGACGACATGAGTCGCGGGGACGCACGTAAACCCTGCCGCTGGGGCCTTCGGTGGAGGTCCCTCTGGTGACACGAGCCGTGTGAATGGTGTGACGACATGAATCGCGGGGACGCATGTAAACCCTGCCACTGGGGCCTTCGGTGGAACTCCCTATGGGGCCCCCAACTGTGTGAGGGGTGTGCCGAAATGGATCGCGGGGGCGCATGTCAACCCTGCCACTAGGGCCTTCGGTGGAGCTCCATATGGGTTCACGAGCCGTGTGAAGGGTGTGCCGAAATGAATCACGGGGGCGCATGTAAACCCTGTCACTAGGGCCTTCGGTGGAGCTCCCGCCGAAATGAATCGCGGGGACGAATGTAAACCGTGCCGCTGGGGCCGTCGGTGGAACTCCCCAGGGGGCCACGAACCGTGTGAAGGGGTGACGAAATGAGTCGCGGGGGCGCATGTCAACCCTGCCACTGGGGCCTTCGGTGGCGCTCCCCATGAGGCAACGAACCGTGTAAAAAAAGTGCCGAAATGAACCGCGGGGGCGCATGTATACCCTACCGCTAGGGCCTTCGGTGGAGCTCCCTCTGGTGACACGAACAGTGTGAAAGCTGTGACGAAATGAGTCGCGGGGACGCACGTCAACCCTGCCGATGGGGCTTTCGGTGGAGCTGGGGCTACGAACCGTGTGAGGGGTATGACGACGTGAATTGCGGGGACGCATGAAGACCCTGTCACTGTGGCCTTCGGTGGAGCTCCCCATGGTGCCACGATCCGAGTGAGGGGTGTGCCGAAATGGAAAGGAGAGGCAGGGATGGGAGGAGGGAGGGGGCAGCCGGAGTGAGTGAGGTGACGTGGGGCGCTGTCTCTTCCAAACGAGGACCCAACACCAGAGGATTGTTTGGAAACGCGAGGGGTCGGCGGATGCGGCGTAAGCTTATGTCGGGCCTGTCCCCATACAGGAGGATTTTCAATGGTAAAAAATACCCCCAAAATAATCAAAAAATAGTCCCAACAAAATCTTGAGACTATTTTTTGAATATGTTTTGACCTTTTTGGGAAATGTTTGGGGGATTTTTTATTTTTCGTCGAAAACCCCCCTGTAGGGGGACACGCCCGACATAAGCGTAAGCCTATATAATCACTACCTCGGATGCCTGGGACGATTTCCACAGCGTGGCTCCGGCCAGAGGTCCAGAGGCCTTTCACCCCGACCGAGCTGCATTCTGACGGCCACGAACGGGCAAGGGCCCCGCTGGAAGCCGGAAATGTGGACAAACCTCGCGTCGTGATTTTCACACGACGCGAGGTGTGGGATGGAGCGTGCACCAGACCCCGAGCCCACGAGTTTCGGGGGGCGCGAGAAGGTGCCCCTGGCCCCAAGGGTCCCGAGCGTTTCGCCCCTGAGGGCTGCTCTTGGGTCGGGCATGTCTCCCTACAGGGGTATTTTGGGGGAGAAATTAAAAATACCCGAAAAATGTTCAAACATACTCCAAAATGCTCCAAAAATTGTCCCCCTCCTGTAGAGAGGGACATGCCCGACTAAAAGCTGCTCTGAAACTCGTGCGTGCCTCCTTGGGGATCCTGGGGGCGCCCTGGGCAAGGACGTCTAGCAGCCCCTCGGAGCTGGCGGCCCGGCCGCCACCGGTGCGGGCGCGCCGACGCGTGGCTGGCGTCCCCCCCGGGAAGCAGGCGGCGGCGGCGGCGGCGGGGCGTCGCTGCCTCGGCCGTACTCGGCCCCCCAGTCTTCGGTGCTGGTCTCGCTGTTCCTGTGGGCGACGCCCTGGCCAGAGTAGCCCTGGGTCTGGGGCTGGGGTGCGTCGTTGTCCGTCGTCGTCGTCGTCGTCGTCGTCGTCGTCGTCGTCGTCGTCGTCGTCGTCGTCGGCACGGGCGTCATCGGCGGCCTCGTGGTCGTCGCTAGCGGCGTCGTCGCCGTCAGCGTCGTCGGGACCACCGTCGGCGTCGCAACTCGGCGTCTGTATCGGCGCCGGCCTGCTCGGACGGCCCGTCGGGGTCTAGGCTGGGTCCGGGTGGTGCCAGGAGCGGCCCTGGCCCAAGGTGCTCCCAGCTTGTCGCGCCACTTGGGGGCCTCTGGGACCCTCTGGCAGGAGTGGCCCTGGCCCAAGGTGCTCCCAGCTTGTCGCGCGCCGCTTTGGGGCCTCTGGGGCCCTCTGGGCCTCGTGAGCGGCGCTCTGGCGGTCACCTCGAACAGCCAACATCTTGATTTTTCAGTGCGGGATTCCCAAGAGGTCCCGGCTCCTCCTTGAGCAGGGACTGACCGTCCCGGCATTCCTATAGGCCTACCACGACATGTTCCTAGAACAGATGAATGCTCGAATAACAACAAGCAAGACGGTATCAGCCAGAAGTGTTCTAAGACCATGCTTTCGTGGGCCTAGTAGGCAAGCCAGGACACCTCGGGGGGACTCGGGCTGGCCTGACGGGGCCATCATGGAAATGACGAAATCCAATCTGAAATTTGACGCGAACTTCCGCTGCAAATCTCCCACGACAACTGGACTGGTCAAACCTAAGACGCGCTCGTCAAAAGGCGTCGGCGAACCCGAGTTCCCCGAACAAGGGGGTAAGGGGAGGGGGTAAGACTTTTTAGGAGGCCGCTTCTTAGAAGGCGCGGGCCTTCCATCTGTAGATAGGGCCGGCGCCTTCTAAGAAGTAAGGGTGCTGCTAAGAAGACTCCCCCCTCCCCCTATCCACCTCTGCGCGTGGCTGACCTGAGATCCGAAAACAAGACGGGAGCTCGCCACCCCACCATTCTGCGACATTTTCGAGCTCGACCGATCCATGATAGCAGCAGGGCCCGAAACCGAGCGAAAACGTGGACCGCAACGCCCAGATCTCAAAAGGGATACCTTGGCCCAGGGCCCCCTCCAGCAGAACCTGTCTCTGGCAGCCGGCGCGGCCGCTTCGTGGCGTCGTCATCATCGACGGCGTCGTCACCGTCGGCGTCGTCGGAACCGCTGTCGGCTTCGACGTCGGCGCTGGCAGCGTCAGCGCCAGAGGAGGAGGAGGAGGAGGAGGAGGAGGAGGAGGAAGAGGACGAGGAGGAGGAGAAGGAGGAGGAGAAGGAGGATGATGATGATGAGGAGGAGGAGGAAGAGGAGGAGGAGGAGGAGGAGGAGGAGGAGGAGATTGGAAGGAGGACAAGGAGGGGGAGAGGGGGGGAGGAGGAGGAGGAGAAGGCGGAGGAGAAGGAGGAGGAGGAGGAGGAGGAGGAGGAGGAGGAGGAGGAGAGGAGGAGGAGGAGGAGGAGGAGGAGGAGAGGGAGGGGAGGGGAGGGGGGGGGGGAGGGGGAGGGGGGAGGGGCAAGCTAGGTGCGCTCGCGTCATATCTGACGTCCTACCCCTCCCTCCCATCCCTTACCATGGCGCTGATTTTCTCTATCCGCGGACGCGTGTCGTAGCGGACCTGTGGCTCCGCGCGCGCGTGCGTAGTGGGTGGTGGTGCACGTGCGTGCGTGCGTGCGTGCGTGTGTGCGTGGTTGGGTGGTGGTGGTGGTGGTGGTGGTGGGTGGTGGTGGTGGTGGGTGGTGGTGGTGGTGGTGGTGGTGGGTGGTGGTGGTGGTGGTGGTGGTGGTGGTGGTGGTGGTGGTGTGGTGGTGGGGGTGGTGCGGCGCGGGTGGTGGCGGGCGGATGGGCGCGCGAGAAAAAGGCCCGCGCTGGGGCGAGAACGCCATCCTGAACGACGGAGGCCAAACACCGATCCGAAAATGAGGCCCACGCTGCAGCGGGAGCACGATTCGGAACGATTCGGGAGCAGAAATGAGGCCGGCGCCTCAACGAGAGCAGCATTTTGGGAAAAAATGACGCCGGCGCCTCAGCGAGAGTCGTTTCCCGGGATTTCCCGGGCATCCTGTGTGTAAAACACAGTACGCGGAGGGTGCGCGGCCATCACCCGGACGCCATCAGGGGAAGAGGGAGAGTTTATTCATATTGAGTAATTGTGGAGGGGGAGGGGGAGGGGGAGGAGGAGGAGGAGCAGGAGGAGAAGAACGAGGAGAAGGAAAAGGAGGGCAGGAGGAGGAGGCGGAGGAGCAGGAGGAGGATGACGAGAATGAGGAGGAGGAGGAGAACTCCAGGGCCCCAGAAGTTGGGTGATAATGAATGCAAGCTCACACCAATCTCAGTCCACAAGGCAAGGAACATCAGAGAGCGGGGAAGGACCGTACTTGGGCGTTTGCCTTCCGCTCCAGGTTTCGGCGACCTGCGATCGTCGGCTCAGGAGGGCAAGGCAGCGCCAACTTCTGTGCAGTGCTGTCCGCATACACCCCGCAGCCTCGTAAATAAAGCACACCCTTGAACTCTGCCAGCGCGTGCGTCATGCGCGCGCGAGCAACACGGATGCCCGACAGGATTGCCCACGGACACGGGGCCAGAGTTGGCCACAGGCCAGGCTGGAACTTGGAAACCTGTCCACGGACAGCAGGGAACTGGCGCAGGTACCTCGAACATTGAAACATGTCAGCAACCTTGCAAACGTCGTGCCCTTGCTCGCGCAGCCTTTCGCGGTGGAGGCTACGCGAACTCGGGCCTGTTCCTTTGTGCTGGTCTCTGCCCAAGCGTTTCTCACATGTTCGTGGGCACGTGAGAACAACATGCCTGAACACCGCAAGCAGACGCTTACTTACACTTAAACGCTGAGTGCCAACATTATGAATTTCAGCAATCTTATCTCCAGGAAGGGCTCTCCACTCGGCAGCTTTCCCCGCACCGTGGTCGGCAACGCCATTGGCGACTAATCCCATGAATTCTGGTCCAGGACACAATCAACGAGCACTCCACTTTGGCTAGCTAGCCCCAGACATTCTGCCACAAGTCGAGCACGCACGAGCGGTCAACTTCAGCATTATCCCTAGATAGAACTCGCGCTCTAGGGAGGACGTCGGTGAACAACTCCGCGTCACTGGCCACGGGGAGGAATGGCTATCTGAGGGCGTGCATCTCAGCGCGGGGGGGAAGACTAGTCAGGACCAAAGAGCGTGCTACCTGATACTCCACGCACCTGCAAGCTAGGGCTCCCAACTTCGCGCTTCGCGCTGCGCGAAGCGCGAATAACTTCGCGCTCTCGCGCCGCCCTCCCAAAGGGAGAATAGGAGGACGAGGAGGAGGGGGAGAAGGAACGAGGACCGCGAAGCGCGAAGCGCGAATAACTTCGCGCCCTCGGGGGAGCCCTTGGCAAGGACCTTGTTTTGAAATGGGCAACAGACCACCCACGCCTCCTCAACCATGTGCAGACGCAATCGCCGAGGCAATGTGCCCGCGCGCATGCCTTCCCCAATACGCTCTAGGTGCTCGACGCAACATTGGGGCCAAACGCGCTGCGCACTCTGAACTTGGCCGGGGCTCACATCTCCCAACTACGGCCCAACCCAACCGGGTACTCAAACCGAATCCTTAAGCGGGGTCATCACGCACATCATGGTCGAGAGCCAGACGGGAAGTGGTACATGCGCCTCGATGCCACCGTCCTGAGGTCTTCGCAGCCTGCGCACGAAGGCGGCGAAAGTTCGAGGAACGGTTCCCAGCATTTGGTGGCCTCAGGTACTCGCCGCAACAACTCCAGGCTTACACAGCTTGCGCGCGCGAAGGTCCACATGAGCAAAGAACGTGATCTTCTTCCCCCTCCTGCGAGCCTACTCACGTCGCTGTCCCACCTCCCAAATGGCACCCCTCCTACCCGCAACCGTTCCCAAACCCGAGATCTCCAACAATATCAACGGCCTTCGACAGAACAAAGAGAATCGCAAACTCCTGCAACGGCCTGCCAACTTTCCGTGATGACGCCACCAGGCACGACTTGACGGAGATCTTGCACCCTCTCTGCTGCAACACGGCACACAGCTCACGGGCGGCAGGGACAAGCTTGCTCATAATGTCCTGAACAGGCCCTTGGACACACTGGGTGCGGTCATCCAGGTACGCAGAGATGGGGACTCGAGGCGCACGTCGGTGGGCAGCCTCCAAGACGTCATAGAGGTAACATTGAATCCAAGGAAGGGACTGGGAACACCCAACCAATACGGAAGTCCCAGCTTGCATCACATACGACACCATGGACTGGACTTCGAGCATGCGAGGAGGGATGTGGATGAACACGCCAAGACACATCATCATAGGTGAATATCCCACAGGCAGCGCAAGATTAACACACGTACTTGGGTCAACCGTGCCAACGAATTAATCCATAGCCCAATGTCCTGAAACCAAGCAAACTCCATTCCCCCGAACGCACTCATGCACCCCCCCCCCCGAAACATCGCGGACCGCAAGGCCGACGAGTTCTTCACAACCGCGTCCCAAACAACGACGTGGGAACCAATCCAAGCCAAGGTCTCGTCTCCACGGATTCGGGTATACAAACGGTACATGGGGCCTCTCTGGAGTAGTGTTCTTTGGCAGCAAAACCACCATACACACATACACCTGCTGGGGAAATTCAAGCGCGTACTCAATATCATTGAACAGCGTAGCAAGCTGGTCAATAGCCTCAGTCGGGAGCTGGATGATATCCCTGGGAGACCATCCATCCATACCTAAGGCGGTGTCGGAAGGAACACACTTACAAAGAGAAGAAACATCCTGGCAATCGATGCTGCGGGCCTCCAAGGACTCAAGCTCGGCAGCGGGGCGCAGGCGTCACATAGCATGTTCAAGGTTCTCAACTTGCCAACATGAAGGGGGTCCACCAGGATGACCAAGACTGCTGCCGATGTGACATTATCCCTTGAGGGGTCTGGGCAACCAGGGACGGAATGACAAACACCTCAACCTCCTTGCTAACATCAGAACGCAATCAAACACGAAGCTTTTCGAACCGCGGCCCACGCGCGGCGAAGAATGAATGAGTGAGTGAGTGAGTGAGTGAGTGAATGAGGAGGAGGAGGAGGAGGAGGAGGAGGAGGGGGAGGAGGAGGAGGAGGAGGAGGAGGAGGAGGAGGAGGGGGGAGGTTGGAAGGAGGCGGATGCGGAGGCGCCTGCTCGGGCAGCCCCTCGGGGTCCGAGCTCGGGTACTGCCGCACGGACGCCGCGGCCAGGACGAGGCGGCGGCTCCGCGGCGCCGCCGCGGGGCGCACGCGCGGCGCCGCCGCGGTGGCGTTCGGCGGGCGCGCCGCCAGGGCGCCGGGCACGCCGGCGAGGGCGAGGGAGCACGCCGCGAGAACACGGATGGATCGATGGTCCTCAGAGCGCGCGTTGGCGCCAACGCTGGAGAGGAAGAGCACGTGACCGCCGATCAGAAGGCGGAATTGGAGGAGGAGGAGGAGGAGGAGGAGGAGGAGGAGGAGGAGGGGGAGGAGGAGGAGGGGAGGAGGAGAGAGGGGAGGAGGGAGGAGGAGGGGGGAGGAGGGGGAGGAGGTGGAGGCAGGGGTTGAGGAGAAGGAGGAGGAGGAGGAGGAGGGGGAGGAGGAGGAGGAGGAGGAGGAGGAGGAGAGCCTTGGAGCGCTCTCCGCCCCCAGGAGCCTGCTGCACCCCCTTGCGGAGGTGGCGGGCGCCCGAGCAGCAGAGCGCGCCTCCGCCGAGAGCGCCGCCGCGGCGCCCCAGGGTGTTGCGCGAGATGACGTGGCGACCTCACGCGGTGGCTTGCGCGGGCCGCCGGCGCGGCACGCCACTGGAAGCGAGGGCGCTTACGCGTGCCCTTGCGCAGGTAGCTTACGCCCTACGCGCAAATGTCGGCGCAAAGGATCTCGTTTTTTTTGTTGCGTCGCTCGCGTGGAGCATGACTAAGACTGAACGTGGAAACGTTGTGTCGATCTTGGTCTGCCTCGATCGTGGTCAGGGTCCATTCGTGGATCATCCTCGCGAGTTGGCGACGGTCGGAGTGAACCATGACCGAGACAAGCATCGACAAAATCCCGCGGCACCTCGGTTCTGACTCCCGTGCCGTGTTTCCTCCGCCGATGCGCGCGCCTGTCCACGCCAGACATGCCTGCGTCGTGGTAACACAAACCAAGATGGATGTGTTTTTCGCCGTTCTCGGCCTCTGGGGGGCCTCGCTGGGCCGCGGGACCGTCAAAGACGGCTCAGGATGAGAAGCCACTTCCCCAGTGGAGCAACACAACATGCATAAGCATAAGCTTTCGGAGGTCCGCGCGGATTTCTTGGATCGGCGCTGGCGCCTCAAGCGTTGCCCCAGGCGTGCGGAGCGCGCCATGGAGGGGGGCTGAACAGCTGGGCCCAGACAATTGTAGCGTCCAAACCCAGGATAGCAGCGCAGTCCAAAGAGCGTGAAATGCCTGTGGGAAACCCTTGCAAGGACGCTGGGAAGCCTGCCTGTGGAACCTGGAAGCTCCACAGAGGAGCTTCGCAAGAGCTCCCGAAGAGCTTCGAACGAGCTGCGGAAAGGCTTCCGCCACGCGGACCTCCGAGAGTGGGTGTTTACGAAACGAATGCTGCGTGTGGTTCTATTCGGGAGCTGGCTTCTCATCCGAAGTTTCTGTTTGTGCACTTTTTGCTCTTCGGCCACCGAGGGCCTCCGACACGATGCGGGCGGCGCAGTAAAATGGCCGATGCGGGCCTGGTGCTGCCGGCGGAGCCGAGCGGGGTGCGCACCCGTCGTCGGGCCAACGCGCGTCCTGAGGCTCAGCGATTGGAACGACACCCCCGCTGCGGCCACCGGTCTGGAGGCCGTCCAGGCGGGGGGGGGGCAGCTGGAGTCGGGCGACCCCGCCGCGTCGCCGAAATGCATCGGGACCGCCGCGATGGAGAACGTCGGGTTCCGAACCGAGCCGCATCGCCGATGCGTCGTTGATGCGGCGCGATCCCCTGACCCGATCCATCCACTCGGCGCCGACGCATCGGCGGCGCTGCGCGATCCCCCGACCCCGTCCATCGACTCGGACCCCGTCTGGGCTGCCTGGACGGTCCCTCCCGCAAAGCTCCCGAATCGAGCCGCGTCGCCGACGCATCGGCGGCGATGCGGCGCGGTCCTCCGACCCCACCTGCAGCACTGCGGTCGCAGCTCCTTGTTTCCCGCCTCCGTCCCCCTCTCCCCCCTCCCCCCTCCTGGCAGGAGGGGGGAAGAGGTAATTACGAGGGGGGGGCAGAGAGGAGGAAGGCAATCATAGGAGGAGGGGGGAAGTGGGCGGGGAAACCGCCTCGTGCCTCCTGTCCTCCTCGGCCCTACTCTCTGCTGGTTTGTGGGGCGCCCCTGGCCCTCTTTATGTCTCGGGCGGCGAGACCCGTACTTCGGTCGGGCCTGTCCTCCCACAGGCGGATTTTTTGGGAGTCCCGAAACGGTGCGGTGAAAGACCGTGCGGTGACCTCGAAACCCTCCAAGACCTCACCGCACGGTCCGTCAGCGCACGGTTTTGGGACCTCGGAGGCCCCAATCGCCCGAGACGTCCTCGGAAAACGACCCGAGTCCCAAAACCGTGCGGTGACCCCGAATCCCCACCGACTCACCGCACGGTGTGGTCACCGCCCCGTTTGGGGCCCCCCGAAAATGTGGAAGACAAATAAATAAACCACAGCCAACACATAATCAAACGAGCTTAAGCAAAAAGCACGACACATCGCTTCCAGACTATTTTTGTTACTGTTCTTGGGTGTTTCTCCTGTACAGGGACATGCCCGACCTAAACCTGCACAGGTCCACTGCCCCAGGGCCGGGCACCTCCCTGGGGCCCAGGAGCTGCGTCCACGCCCTCCCGGCCAAGCCCAGAGGCTGCCGCGCACACACACACACACCGCCGCTGGGCTCAGGATGGGCCTGGCCATTCAGCAGTGGATGCGTGTAGATCTCGTCGCCCTGCGATTCGGGGTCCCGGGATGAGGGGCAACGCAAGGGTTAGGTCGCGCCTGTCCCCCTACAGGGGGATTTTGGACGGAAAATGAAACGTACAAAAATTATCCCACAACGACCCTACCTAGGAGCTGGATCCCCTAGGAGAGCAAAATTAGTAGTAACGGTAAACGCCGTCCTCCTCCTTCTCCTCATCGTCGCAGTTGTAGCAGCAGCGTAGTAGTAGTAGTAGTAGTAGTAGTAGTAGTAGTAGTAGTAGTAGTAGTAGTAGTAGTAGTAGTAGTAGTAGTAGTAGTAGTAGTAGTAGTAGTAGTAGTAGTAGTAGTAGTAGTAGTAGTAGTAGTAGTAGTAGTAGTAGTAGTAGTAGTAGTAGTAGTAGTAGTAGTAGTAGTAGTAGTAGTAGTAGTAGTAGTAGTAGTAGTAGTAGTAGTAGTATAGTAGTAATAATAATACTACAGCTTAGTACCAACATCTACACCTACTAGACCTACATCCACATCTACATCTACATCTACATACACATCTACATCCACATCTACAGCTAAACTAAGCTAAACTAAGCTAGGTTCTGCTATGCTATGCTATGATATGTTGCGCGGTGCTGTGCTAAGCTAAGCTATGATATGCCATGCTGCGTTTTGCTTTGTCTTGCTTTGCTGTGCACCCAGCGATAGCAGGCTGTCCAGCACTGCTCGCGGCTCCTGCAAGCGCTGCAGGCTGTTCAGCACTGCTTGCACTAGGTTCAACACTGCTCGCGGCTCCTGCAAGAGCTGCAGGCTGTTCAGCACTGCTCGCGGCTCCTGCAAGAGCTGCAGGCTGTTCAGCATTGCTTGCAAGAGCGGCAGGCTGTTCAGCACTGCTCGCGGCTCCTGCAAGAGCTGCAAGCTGTTCAGCACTGCAGGTCCGGCTTTGCGTTGCTTGTGCTTTGCTTTGCTGTTGCTGCTGTTGCTTTGCCTTTGCTCTGCTGCTATGCTAAGCTATGCTATGCTATGCTGCGCTATGCTATGCTATGCCATGCTATGCTATGCTATGTTTTGCTATGCGGCGCTATGCTATGCTATGCCAGGGTACGCTCGGCTGCGCTGTGTTATGCTAGGCTATGCTATGCTGCGCTGTGCTATGCTATGATATGATATGCTGCGCTATGCCATGCTAGGCTATGCTGTGATATGCTATGCTGCGCTATGCGATGCTATGCTATGCTATGCTACGCTATGCTATGGTATGCTATGCTATGCTGTGCTGTGCTATGCTATGCTGTGCTAATGCTGCGCTATGCTGCGCTGCGCTGCGCTAAGCTAAGGCAAGCCAAGCAATGCTAAGCTAAGCTAAGCTAAGCTAGGCTAGGCTAAGCTAAGCTAAGCTAAACCAAACCAAACCAAGCCAAGCTAAGCTAAACTAAGCTAAGATAAGCTAAGCTAAGCTACGCTAAGCTAAGCTAAGCTACGCTAAGCTAAGCTAAGCTGGGTGAACCCAGGGGGCGCAACTGGGGGAACCGCGGGGCGGGGACTGGGGGAACCGCCCGGGGCGAGTTCCACTGCCCGGCCCCTTTAAGAAAGAGAGTAAGAACCCTCTAGGCAGAGCCTAGGTAGGGAATAATATCTAAAATGGTCAAACATATTTTTTTAAGTCTCCATACTATCTTTTGACTATGTTTGAATCTATTCAAACATAGTCAGGACCTCCTGTAGAGGGACAGGCCCGACTTAACGCAAGGGGGGGGATCAGCTCGGGGGGGGGGACACCGAGCTAAAATCAGGCGACAGGCCCCCGATGGCGAATCCGCACATTCCATGGCGGGGTCGGCGATGAACCTGCGATTGCTCCTCGTCCTCGTATTCGTCCTCGTCCTCCTCCTCGTCCGCGTCCTCCTCCTCCTCCTCCTCCTCTTATTCCTTCTCCGCCTCCGCCTCCTCCTCCTCCTCCTCCTCCTCCTCCGCCTCCGCCTCCGCCTCCGCCTCCGCCTCCGCCTCAGTCTCCTCCTCCTCCTCCTCCTCCTCCTGCTCCTGCTCCTCCTCCTCCTCCTCCTCCTCCTCCTCCTCCTCCTCCTCCTGTCTTGACTACCCCGGCGCCCGGCGAATGCCTCCGGAGCCTGAGAGCACCCGGGGAGCTCCTGGGAGCTCCTGGGGGGGAGCCCTGGGAGCACCCGGGGAGCCCCCGGGAGCTCCCGGGGAGCCCCTGGGAGCTTCGGGGAGCCCTGAGCACACCTGTGGAGCCCCTGGGAGCTCCCGGGGAGCCCCTGGGAGCTCCCGGGGAGCCCCGAGAACACCCTGGGAGCTCCTGGCACCACCGGAGGAGCCCCTGGGAGCTCCCCGTGGTCCTCACCGCGAAACCGTGAAGGCCCTCCGCCCCGACGGCTTTTCGAGCGCCGCTGTAGCTGCCTGTGGGGGGGGGGGGTCCAAGCGCTGGCACCGGTGCGCGCGGCGGGGGCGGCCCCGA